TATATACGTATATATATTAATGAAACGTGTATGAATATATATATATATATATATATATATATATATATATATATATATATATATATATATATATATTAATAGTAATACTCAGTTCGAAAAAAGAACTCAGATAGCACCTATAAATTTTTTGTTAATAACTTCTTGACTTCTATAAACTTGTAGATATGTCAAAACAATTCGGTACCGAGAAAAAAAAAAAAAAAAAAAAAAAGAAAGAACCTAAAACATCAGAACAGGGACAAACAAATCACCCAGTTCTTAGTCCAAAGAAAAAGTAACCCAAGCGGGTAGTAAGGCTAAAACTTAGTTTGCTTAGTACGCTATGTATAGCGGGAATAAACAAAATAAATCCTAAAGAGCCAGAAAAAAACAAAAAAACTACCTAGGTTCCATCTAAACGGATCTTCATGGTAAGCTGGCTAAAAAGGATATGATGAAAGAGTATTTATTGATAAAACCATTAAAAACTAATAAGCATAAAACCACGTGACAGAAGAAGACAAAAAACAATAAAACAAAAACAAATCCTCTATTCTAATAACCCGGATTTCCTATGCCTACACCTATTTAGAATTTCAGATCTTTGATTTGATAAATTATTAGGTTCATTGTTGGTGGCTATTGTTAATTTTTCCTCAATACATAACCATCAAAATCTGTCCCTGCTTTATATTTAAGTCATTTTTAAAAAAAATATTTCCGATTTTAAAAAGTGGTCACTACCATCTTCTTGTTTTATATTCCATTTGTATGTAGATAGGCTGCTATTATGTTTGTAATTTTCGTGATTAAAGCTTGATTGTAGTAAAGTTTTTTGAAGTTACCTTGGGTGGATCCTATGTAAAATTTGGGGTTCTTATCAATATTATTCAGTTTATTTCTGTGTATTTAGACTTTGTAAACCACACACTCCTGTTGGCACCTGCCCTTAATTGGACAGGCGTCCTTATTTCTACAGTTACATTTAGGGGGCTTGGGGTGTGGTTTGTCGATGATTTTTTTTCTCTTATATTTATTAAGTTAGTCATATTTGGCATACAACTATAACTTGATTTAACAGTTTTTATTGAAAATTTTGTACTATAGATTTGTATTTTAATAATTTGAAAAACATTTTTCCTATTTTAGTTTTAACTGCTAAATTATATGGGTGGGGGTGGGTTAAACCATAATATCTTCTTGGCTCTATTTTTTTGTGTTGCCGTGCGTGTTAGGGGAATTGTGAGTATCAACATATATTAATTTGCTTTTGTGTCCACTATTTTTTAAGACCTTTTCATAATCTTGTTTATTTTTATTAAATATATTATCCCTAGATGAATTAGTGGACAATGTATAACTAATTCCGTTAGGTATATATTTTGAAACATGTCTAGGGCGGTGAGAACCTACGTCAATATAACACGGTTGTTGGATGCTTTTCTTAAATGGGGAAATTGTGCCATTATGTAGGTCAAGGGTAATGTCTCAATAGTCAGAGACTTTTAAATTAGTTTGTATTTCTTATTAAAATTCGAATTTTTTAAACATCCAATGTAATTTTTACGGATTATGTCTCTTTTTCTGGGGGTGCATTTATCTATTATAGTTAAACCATCGTCTCTGTACAGACCATGGTTACTAGGGTCAATATACTTATTCAAATTATTCAATCGGAGGCACCCTACTAATTCGCATACCTCGGCTCCGTCATATGCCCCCATGGGGTTGTCAAAATTGCCGCTGTCTGCATTTTTAATCCATAATACATCATTATGGTGTAATAACGATTTGCGGCAATGTTTAGTGAAGTCACTTTTATCATTGGATATTGAAATTTACTCTTTAGCCAGCTATAAAGCTTCATTAACCGTTTTTTTTTCGTAATAGATGGGTAAACTTCTTTTATGTCATATTTCACAAAAGAACATTTGCTGTTTTTGTCATAATTATTAAACCATTCTATACAATCACGAGTAGAGCGCCATTGGTTAATGTTTAAAACTGCTCTTGGTGTTTCACATATATCTTGCAATATTATTTTGCTGATTTTACCCATTTGTGTTGATTAACCGAAATTCGGAGTTGTTATAGAAATCCTTTTTGTGGTCTTTTAATGTTATAAAACAATTTTTAATATTAATTTTCTTTATTCTATTCTCTAGATTAAATTTACTTGCTAGTATACTAGTTTCCTTCTTGAGTTCAATTTCTAGGTTAGCAGAGGCCTTCTTATAGTGTTTAATCACTTCCTTGTGCATCATAGTGTTATATTTGCCGGGACTCATCTTTTTTTCTATTCTTAATCTCTTTCAAGACCTTACTGATTTATTGTATGGTGTTACTGAAGTCTCTATATTTTATCATTTTAACTAAGCCGATCAAGTTGGATTCGATGTTGCCTAACTCCTTATTTGGGGCGGGTGGGCATAGGTTTTAAATCCATAGGTCTCCGTGATTTCTTGGTGACTATTCTGGTTATTATTAAAGAAGAAGTGGGCTTTCCATCTTATACTAGAGATGAAGGATTCTAATTTTTTCACAAACGTTAATTCATATAAATGCCTATCAGGTAAAGCGATATTTTAAAAAGAATAACCAATATCTACTTGCTCCATGACGGTTGACTTAAAAAAGTGCTCGATAGGCGGACCTAGAGCTAAAATTATATATATATATATATATATCGTATAAATTTGGCATAGCGTCGATAGAGCCTTTGAAGATATAAACGTCTGGTCTAATGATCAGCTATTAAACTGAATATCACCACTCAATGTTGATTTTTAGATACACAAAAACATATATATATATATATATATATATATATATATATATATATATATATATATATATATATAATTACTATAAACATTATATTTAGCCTCTGTTTCAGTTGAAAACTCTGCTCTATGACTGAGTAATATATTTATAAATTATTAATGAACTTAATTGTAATCAGAAGTTTTATTAATTCTATTATGGTAATTTACTCTACCAGCTATAAATAGGAGCAGTTACTGCCTTTTGGTGAGTTTCCAGCAGCCATCTCTGACAGTCGAACCGAACATTCTTGCTGTAACACTCTCGTTTGTATATGTCTGATGTACTATTTTTGTTAATAAATAGCTCAATTTCTATCTTGTGTCTTTATTTCTGGCCCGACCGACTTCAGACCTTACTTTTAGTGATAAATCGTACTAAAATAGACACCCTACTTTTTTTTTATTTTAAACAGTCTATATTACGTCTATCGGCATGCTCATACGAAAAAAACTTAATAAAGAAAATATGCTCTCTGGCATCGTTTGAACCTATCGTTTGATCCTATGTAGATTAGACAGCCTCAGAGAACATCACGCTCGAGCAAGATTCTACTTATCTTTTCAAGGGCTGCCACGCCCAAAGTGCTCGAGGATGAACCGGAGATTTCTTCTAATAAAGTGGCTCGATCTATTTTGTTCTCTTCAATAAGTTTTCTTGAGCGCACAGGCAGTCAGACGCAATATAAACTGTTTAAAAGGAAATATATGTCTTCTATTTCAAACACGGGTATCCACTAAAATAACGTTTCAAGTAATAAAATAATATTAGATATATATATAGATCAAATACAAAATATATATATATATATATATATATATATATATATATATATATATATATATATATATATATATATATCCTGGTAAAATTGGATCAAATACAGTATAATTCCACTGTGTGTGGCATTTAATTTAAAAGTGGGCTCAATACAGAGTGGAGCTAAATATTATTTATATTAGGATATTAAAACATATTAAAATTCGTTACATAATGGCAATTATGTATCAAAATCATAAATGTGTCTCCTCGGGAGATGTTAAACTACTGGCGAGTGAAAGATTAATTTCAAAAGCAGAATATTTTTAAAAAGCAGCGCTCGAGGAGACAAATTTATGGTGTTGAAAAATAATATCCATTATGTAGTGATTTTTAACATGTTTTAATATGCTAAAATAAATTATATATATATATACATATATATATGACAAAAATGTAGTTTAGAAGTTTAAAGGTATGCTATATTTGTGGATTAAAGTGCTCAATATCATGGCTAGAGCGTATTTAAAGTGTATAGGTATGTCAATACTCAGAGTCGATACTCTGTTCCATACTTAAACGCAATCTTTAGGCGTAAAACAAACTTTAATCATGAAACAGAATGTCGCCTATTGGTTTCGACCTTAATGACCATATATATATATATATATTTATATATATATATAAAGGTAACTACACTTGTCTCGGAAAACCTTGAGTTTTTTGATTTGCTAATGATCAAATCTATTTCGAAGGAAAAAAAATGTTTTTTAAAAAAGAAAGAGCTAGGAACATAAACGTCTGTCAAAAATAATCGCACAACATACAGGTTCAAAGCACAAAGTAAAAAACCCCGATACGAGTAAACCAGCTTTCCCTGGCGATCCGCTTAGGTGAAACCTTGGTAGGTTTGTCTGGCTCTCTAGGTTTGACTATATATATCTATATATATATCTATCTATATATATATATATATGTATATATATGTATGTATGTATAAAATATGAAATCCCAGTCACGTGTATGTGCGTTAAAGTTTGTTTACATGTTGAAACTGTCAAACTATTCTGTAAATATTTTTTCTAGAAATTAGTTTTTATTTATTTTGTAGTGTGCAATTACGCCAAATATGAATTAAAAATTTACAATTTAAAAAGTTAAACATAAAATAATATTTTACTTTTATTTAGTTTTTCTAAACCAAACGAAAAAGTCTAATCACATTTTCTCCAAAGTCGCTGTTCCGAGATATCAGCTGTGTTTCCATCGTGTTTCTTTTTTAATTTAATAAATATACTTTTCAAAATGCAAGGCGCTGAGAACTTTTCCTCAAACTTTATTATTTTTTATTCATCATGCGTCGCTCAAATATGTCCGCTTAACGTCGCTATCTTTTCAATGCCATTTCATTTTTCTAGGCTTTAAATTTGCCGTATTCTCCTCATCGAAAATCTTTTCTTCCTCTTTACGCGATGTATATCACTTCCATTTAGTGATTTTTTCTTTCCCTACTTCGGTTTTCTTTGCTTCTTGTCTTCCATATGCATCCGAAATTTTAACGACTGTGGCTGACACCTTTTAATCCTCCCGTCTGACTCCCGGTTTTATCAGCAATTCAATGGATTACTACACCCCCCAAATTTGTTCTCAGTAAGCAATATTGAAATAATGTTTTGAACTGTCCGTATTAAGAAGCAAAGCTACTAAGAAATGCCCCAATATATGTTTATTCAAAATAGAAGCTCTACATACACACTAATATCATTGTATGATTTCTTTGAAAAATCAAAGAAAATAACTTGAAAAATCTACGACTATAGGATATTAGGTGGTTCAATACCTGTGATGAGGTTTGTGCGCGATGAGAAAAACGCTTATCCTCATATACATTCATATAAGCATATAGCCATCTTCTCACACATAAGTTACGTATATGCTTAACGGTTTCATTTTGACTCTATCTATGTATAAATTTAGTTAGCTTATCTTTGATTAGTATAGAGCCAAAGAAGTCTGGCACAAAGGATGGACAGAATCCAATATACCAACAAAGATCTGCGATTATGGATTGCTCACTAATAATTAATTGCAGGCATATATGTGCGCATATACTCAAGCGTACAATGCTGTGCAAATGTAAGTGAACATCTAAAATAAGACACTATTTACATTATCCGGACTATTGTCCTCATCTTGTCATATTTATTTTATTTGTACGCTCGTTGGAATGTCGAACTGAATCTAATTCCACGTGCCATGTCTAATGGATGTCAGTTAATTTACCTCTCCAAGTTCTCCACTGCCTTAACTAGGTATTGAACTCTTTGGGTCCTGTCACATATCTAACCAACGCCTTTATCCACTGTGCCATGTGTCCTTAAGGAAATCTATGTATGGATTTCTGGGACTTATAAGCTTAATATCTTCAGCAACATTTTTTTATCAGTGCTCATATTTGAATTTTTCGGTGTTATCATTGCATTTATTTATTTATTTTTTTTTTACCATAGCTCATATCGAAATTTTGTTGTTATTATTGCTTTTCTCTGGTACTCTTTATTACTGAAGAAGGCCGAAGCGTACAACGGCCGAAACGTTGAGATAAGTATGGCAACAAAAATGAGGACAATAGTCCGAATAATGTAAACAGTGTACATAATACCTCATCTCAGAAATATAGACAGATACCTAAGATAATGTAAAAAAAATTCTCTTTCTTTCAGATGATCAACAAATCTTAATAATTATATATTCATTAAGAAAAACCTTTATCAAATCAATTACAACCAATTTAAAAAAAAATTGCTGAAGGAACATTTTGCTAATCTCTTCAAAGGCTTGGCTAATTGCGGGTTTGTGAGTCAAAATAGATTCACCAGGCCATCGTTTGAGGTTTCGAATTCAGAGTTGATCTTCTCCTAGCTATTTACCCCTAGCTTGGGACAGAAGAGATCGATTCATAACTTTCTCAAGGGTAATTACATGTAAGTGAATGTCAAGAACTCGACTGGAATTCGAACATAGTTTTCCTATAAGCACATAAATTTATCTATTATGTCAATCGAAATGTGCTTTAATGACTGCTTCCTGAAGATAAACTTGCGTTTATGAGCATCAACCCAAAATTACATGCAGATATAAATAGAATTATGAATGAATAAAATAAGTTAATATATTGGCCATGTAGATTTCAGTTTTATATAGATCATAATTAAAACTGAGACAAAAAAAAAAAAAAAGAAAGAAAACTTTACCGATATGTCAAGAGATCCTCGCTGTTGCACATGTGAACTTGCATGCAAGTCACTACCGGGACTGAAGTGTCACATACCACACAAACATAAAAAATGAATGAGGTTGTCACATCAACATATGTCGAAATCGACAGGAGATAGTCGAAATATATATATATATATATATATATATATATAATATATATATATGTGTGTGTGTGCGTGCGTGTGTGTGTGTGTTTGTGCGTATTTGAATGTGTGCCTATACAACGTTCAGCAAAAAAAATATTAAAGGTATTAGTCACCCTTCCCATTATATATATATATATATATATACATATATATCTTATTTAAAAATATGATTCCAACATAACACAGAAATTTCTATGTTTCAAAACTGAAACTAAAATTGTAAATCTAATTATAGAAATTAAACTTAAAATCTAGAGTTTCCTTCCATTGTCAAGCAATGCTAAGAATAACTTTCTAAGAAATATATATTTATAAACAGTGACAATCTTAATATTTTGAGTTGTAAGGTTAAGGAAAATTCAATCAATTTTGATTAGGGGTGGTTGGGTTTTAATTTTCCTAGACAACTTATGTATTAAATATATGTTACTTACAAAGTCTAGTTAAGTTTAGATGAGGTGGGGGAGCCTGCTTACAAGCATAGACATCTGCTATACATCGTGTCGTCTGGTTTTTCAATGACATTTTTATTTATCCTCTTAATTTTTATTTTTATACACAAAGATTTTCTAAAAGGGTCATTTAAATATGAGTAAGTCATGTTTTTAATATTTAAATTTTATTTCTACCACATTTAAAATGCCTTTCTTTCTTCTAATAACTAATAGAATATACGGTATTTTTACAAATAAATACATTAGAATTTAATTTCATATTTAATAACATTATTAATTAATGATCAAGTATAAATATGTATGTTTCATCTCTCTTCTTTTTTATTTTTTTTCCAAAATTAATTATTATTTAAGGAAAATAGCTATTTCATTTCTTTGATTTAGTAAATTGTTATTTTTCAGAAAATGAATAATGTATAATTTTTCATGTATCCACAATGGACATGGGTCATTTAATGGCCTACAAGCTCTAGCTTTTCTTATTAATTCCATTTTACTGTTAGTGTTTTATTGGTTTCTTTTAAGTGCCAGAAATATTTAGATAGAGACTTTTGGTTTCGGCATTTATTATTATTAACGGACATTTGAGGTTGATTCCACCTTCTTTTGAATTCATACCTTGTGCATCGAATGTAGAATATGACCATGCCCGGATCTTCAATATATGAGATATTACAGTGATAAACTACCGATTCAATACGACATTTATTATTAAGGGCAGTTTTGAGGATTTCTACAGTTACATAATTTTGCTTATCTTCATTTATTTATATTTTTGAGCTTTTGGTATAAGTGTTTATTCAAGATATTAGCATTATGTTTCTGAATAACCATTTCTAAGGTTTCAGTACAACTGTAACATAGTTCAGGGTATTTTATTTCTTACCATTTGGTTGTACGGGGATGTATACTAAATGATTTTCTATTTTATTTTTTCTATGGTATCCATTTTCATTTTTATATAATTGAGTTTTAAGAATTTATAGACACTATTCTCTAGACCTTTATTATAGAAATTACTATGTTCATAGAATATTTTCTCATTTTCTGAATTTTTTACTTCATTTTTCGCTAGATGAATGTATATGCTTAATTATAGATGGAGGATGATTAGACTTAGGGTGTATATACAAAGGATTAGTTTTGGACATTTTGTAAGTTAAGTATATATAATTCATTAAATGTAAAGCATGTTAACATTTTCCAATTCAGTATTTACAGTAATTTTCAAATTTAGACATTCACTGTTTTGTAATTTTATAAATTTAAATGATCATAGAATTCCTTACAACCATGGCGCCATCATCTCTGTACAACCCAATGTTATTTATATTAATTTCACGATAAGCAGTAAGATTATATAATATAATAATACCTATAAGGCCAGAAGACTCTGAAGGGTCTAATGATCCCATTGTGATGTCGAAGTGGTCATTAGAGTTTTTAATTCATTGCTCGCTATTATGAATGAGTACCGATTTTTTGCATTCATAATTATGTTTTTCTCTACATCTATTATGTCTGAGTATTAGGTAGCAAAATCCAATGAATTCGTGAAAAGTTCTTTTGATATCGATTGGTAGTAATTCTCAATATCAAACTGTATTAGCGTACACTTTAGTTTCTCCTTCATATTAGTAAAACAATTAGTATCTTTTTTGGTTTTAATCCTAGGTAACCATTTATTTGTTGGTTGACACTTTCTAGAATTTTCTTATTAATTCTGCCGATTTCAGCTCTGGTTGAGTTGATAATTGTTGTAATCGGATTAGCTCTGAAATCGGGTTTGTGATCCTTTATAGTTATATAGCACACTTGTTGGTAAGTTTACCTACCCTAACATTAACATTCAATTTATCTGTGATGCTTTTACTAATAATATTAATGTTTTCCAACATATTCACGTAATTTTTACTCACCTATTTATTGTTCTTATTTAAATATTTTTTTTAAAATTAGGTTGTTTTAGTTCGTTGCTGTTAATTTATAGAATTTCCTGTTTTATCCGATTTCATAAAAATTTTATCTGTTGCGTTAATATATTTCATTATCTTGTCCATATATTTTTTGGAAATAGCTTATTTATATGTTAAAATACCGTATAGTCAATTAGTTATTATTTTGTTTGTGAGCAGGCATCCCACCCCACCTAAACTTAACCTGACTTTGGTACGTAAGTTGTCTACGTAAATTAAAACCCAACCACCCCTAATCAAAATAGATTCCTAGCATCGCTTAACAATGGAACGAAGCTTTGGATTTTGTTTCATTTTTATAATTAGATTTACAATTTCGTTTCAGTTTTGAAACAGAAATTTCTCTGTCACGATGGAATCATATTTTTAAATAAGAAAATAATTATAATATTATGCTCTACTTTTTCTATCGGGCACTCTTCTTTTAAAAATAAAAAAATAATTGCTAAGAACACGGGGTTATAAATCTTACCCCTCCTCTTCTTCTTCTTCTTATTATTATTATTATTCCTAAAAATCATACAATGTCTAGAGGCTCAGCAGAAAATTTATGTCGTTATCTTCTCTTATCCTACAACAAATCCTATTTTAAAATGACTGTTTCTCGGGAAACACAGAAAAACGAAAGGACAAATTCCTGTTTTATGAAGGCGTACGTGCTGTAAGCATTCACATGAGTTGATTTAACGTTTACGGAAAGTCAGCTGTTGATTTAATCAAAGTAAG